GACTAGGTAGATAGATAGACGAGGATGAAGAAGATGAGGGGGAAGAAGAAGTACATTAAAGAACAGATCAGCAGAATGATCCAGGTACCCTACGCTCCTAGAACTATTACAGTATTTGGTGGAGCTATCAAAAGCAGGGACAAGATCTGATGATAGCCTGACGGTGATACCTAGGTTTTGGATACAAACCGTAGTCACCAGTATTACAAGTCCTAAGGTAGCAATGGAACTACTCCTCTGTAGCTATATCTGCTGTAAAAGGTCCTGAATGGACCGTCGAACAGTCCAGCTTACTCCGTCCCCTCCAGTTACTGACAGTAATGACTCAATTATGTCTTAGACCAACCGTCTCACACCAATTTAGCTTCATGCTATCTTTCCAATCTACGTAAAAGGTTAAGTCTGTCCTATTTGGGAAAATCACTAGGAACTGGCCGCTGTTGACTTTACTAGCTTGCTGGCAGTAAATGGGGATGATGGCATATGATACGGTGATCGCTTAAGGCAGACTAAATGCGAAAACTTTAGCCCCAGGAACTGACTCTTGGTCCGAACCAACAACACGAATCATCGACCAAGGTAACTATGGGGGGTCATGGATGGCAAATTCTGGAGTGGAGTCTGCTGGACAACTCAAGTCCAGAGTCAAAGACTGGGAAGACGGATGAAGATGATGACTATTTCACGGATCGCTCGGTTTATTTCTCAAAGTGCCCATATGGATGACGCGACCATGGAAGAAGCGCCAAAGTGTAGGGTACCTTACTGCAAGTGCTGTGTCTAGTATCTAGTGTTGTGAGTGGACACTTCATTAGCCAGTATTAGCAACCATACTGAAAGGGAGGACATGATACTATCTACTCCATCAACGATGTAATACTCTTGAAGAAGTTGGCAGTGCTGTTGTCAGAAACATGCTGGGTGTTGTTGGTCCAGTAGCCGGTATGTCTCGGATACGAGACCCCCCTCAGGAACAAGGCGCCTAACAACCAGACTAGCAGACCGTCCCTGTTGCGCAGTTCTTGGTCATTGACCTTGGGCTGACAACCTGACTCGTATTATTATGATTTCAACTATGACCATCTCCCTTTAAGAAAGATACGACAATAATAATCATAATAGAGGGGTCCGGGTGGCTGGAAAAGACCTGGTAAGGCTGGGCCAGGCCGAAAAGGCAGAGACTACCTAGAGTCTCGAACCAGGTCTGGTTGGTGGCGTTGTACCGCTGGGGCTTGAGGGTCCTCTTAAAGCGTGATAAGTTCTAACAAGGAGGCACCAGGAACTCTAGCTCCATCGCACTACCACATCTATACACGCAATGTGATCGGCTGAATTTTCCAATAGACTTCTACATCAAAGTCATGGCATAATATACCATAGCTGGTGAAGAATCTGGTACATTCCAACTTGCAGCCACGGACTGAACAATACCGCTGACCGGGCCATCGGACTCGTTGACGTTGACCATCTTGATCTTTGGTACAGAGTGTCTTCAAGTCTTGGTAAGTTTGGGGAACCTCGATCATACTCTCCCAACACAATCATGGGCAAAAGTATGAGTGAGGTATGCAATGTGTGAATTGTGATACAGGACCCCTTACTTCCACCCATGTGTACACAGTACAGCAGAGTCTGTGCGACATTCTAAAAGAGTGGTTTATCCCAAACCTGCAGCCACTGTTGTCAAGAAAGTGGACGATTTTAGCGATTTTCTGACCTGTCTCGTTGTTATTGATTAGTGATGCAAGGGGAAAGCCTACCTTTAAGGTAGATATGTCGTAAACCCGGTTCCCAAACAGTCTGTGGAATAATACAGAGTACCTTGCGAATGCATATGTATTTGACCAGCACGCAAAGGACACGACGATAAGAGGTTTCACACTGGTTCTTCGGCCGAACAAGCAGAAGTATCAGACTGGGAATAATTCTCCGATCACCATCCTGAAACTAACGCTGGCCATGCAGCGTCTCTGCAGAGTGCTGTAACTTATCCCGTTGAACCCGACGCGGACAAAGCACATTCGGAGTGCGAATACAAATCACCTGAACACTTCAGACTTCGAAATTGAGTTACGATGAGAATCTTTGACCATGCATGGACTATCAGCTCACTGCCCTACCACACTCTTTCGTCACATTTTCATCTTTGCTGGGACACGGGCCATTATGGAAAGCTTGTTCCTGTGCATACATTTGGTCGAAGGCCGGCTGGGACGAACTGCCTTTGAGACCGTGGAACTGAGCAGTGAAGCTCCAGACAAGAATTTCCAACCATTTCGAGAGAAATAGGGGCGAAACGACCTATTGTCTAGGTTATAATTGATGTCAATGTCAACAAGTCGGAGCATCGACCATCTGCAAACGGCATGCCGGATAACCAGGAAAGTCAGTCTGATCGGGGCCTATTGACATCTATCTGACATCGATGGCGGCGTCAATCGCTTGGTAAACACCGTGTGGTAGACCACAAGGTACGTATCTTTTGACGATTTCAAACCGAGGAGAGGCGAGAATAGACGTTATGACTTCAAGTCTTTACGCCACTTGGAGAGTTGATGATGTGCTTGATCCATCAGAGCGACCAACACAGGAAGCACGTTGATAAGAGCACGTTCTGAGTGTACATTACTCTGTCCTAACGCTTCTAGATGATGTACACAATGCGAAATGCACCTATCTCCAGTTTCAAAGTTTCAACGCAGACTGTGCATTAGTCTCGTCTGCAAATTCCGAGATATCCTTCCAATTGGCCTGATGAAGGATCCGATCGTAAAAGTATCTGTACCTTACCTCGCCTCCTGAACTCACTCGGAAATCGCCTCTGCATCCTGACAGGCTGACACTGGTGTCCGTTGACCGTCTACCATGCACTGGGCAAGAAGGTGGCGGCGTCTCCGCATCCTGAGGGGTAGATCGACGTGGCACTGGCCAGCTACGCCCTGTTGACCGCTGTCCACACCCCTGCTTACGCGCATGCATTTTCACCTGTTCACCGAAGGTGTGGACGGAGCAAGGCGAATGGACTCCGTGGCTATCAGTGATGACATTATATACTCAGAGGAGCTCAGCTGGTTGGTTTGTGCCTTTGCCAGGAGGGCGGGGGTTTCTGGTCTTAGTCTTACCCCTCATCCTGATTCCTGGATTTCCACGACGGGTGGAGACCAGGGTAATATCATCGGTTCTGATGCTGATAAGAACGGTCGTGGTAGTAATAACAAAGCAGGTATTAATCTTTAAAGCAGTTGAGCCTTCATAGGTATCTCATGCCTGTACGGGGTACATTGTACTACTTGAGAAGCGGGGTATTGTTCCATGACTGTAGATATGGATACCAGACAGCTGGGGATAGTATCTACCTTACCAACAGGTACCTGCTTAAACCTTGTTGCTTGGGCAAGGTACATGGCCAGAAGTACTCTACTCCGTAATATCGATTAATTAGCATGGATATCTCAAACACCCTAGTCCTGCAGGTAGAAAGCCACTATCTGCATTTTACCCCTCTGGCAATACCACTTCCTGGCCCTTTTTCGGACTGAGTATGCGAGGTCAAATATGCATTACTGTCCTATTAATAGAGATGCGCAGATCACAGATCATTCCTCGCTCTATCGACGTTTCGTTGTCGAATCCTCGCGGGGAGCCGTCCCCTCGTATATATACTATGTCTATTTATCTGAGATATCAGGCATACATTCAAGGTCAACATATTAGCCCACCTCCATCTTCCCCGTAACAACATCCTATACGGAGTACTCAGAAGTATTACCCCGTCCACCCATCTTTTGCTTGTGGTCGTTATCTGGCATGTGGGCAGGTAAGGGCATGTGGAAGGTTTGTCTGTGCTCAGTAAACTCCCGTAGACTCGTGCAAGTAAAGTCAATATGATACCTTTTACTTTGAGGGAACTCTATTGTCTGAGTATATATAAATTTGGTGCTTAGTTGTGGCTTTTATAGTGATATCCCGGATATGGTTGGCTTTCCACGATGGGGCCTAGAACTTGTTGACGATGATGAAGGTCCCGTGCTGAGACTTAGTATTGCATTGGAGGAATATCAGCGTTGACAGCCTGGAATACCCTTAGACTAGACAGTGCTATCTGCATTGGACTCCGTCCCTCAAGCGCACTGATGGCTATACATGCATTATGGTAATGTACACCACACAATCAAGCATTGCTCAAACGCAAGCACGAGCTCACAACACCACGGTCAGCCCCGGTAACGTAGATCTGAGGGAACCGCCAAACCCAGCCCAGCAGCAACACCCTGCGAAGAACCCGCATTCGCAGCACCAGCCGTCTTTGTCCCCGTCCCGGTCTCAGGTGTAGTCCCCGTGCTACTCGGCGTACTACTAAGCGTATACCTCGTCCAAAGTCGATTTATGTTGTGCCGTTTGCTACAGGCATTTCTGCTGTAGAGTGCTTGCTCGTAGGAGAACGGAGTTGGCGAGTGAGGATGCGATGTTATATAACGTTGGCCTGAGGGCGATGAAGAGGTATCCACGAATTGGTAATAACAGTGCGTACGGTGAAAGCGGCTGTGGCAGTGGTGGTTCGGCTCAGATATATGACAACAACGCTAACATAGCACCTCCCAGGCTAAATTTCTTGAGTATTTGAAGATATAGCCCTAACTCGAGGATTTCCTTTTCTGGGAGTAGTGTTGGCTAAGTGACGAGTAGTGGCCGGGATGAGAACTTAGATCTGTTAGGGCCAGATGGTATAGCGGCTAGTACTAGCTCTCCCCATCGACTTGCTTTCTGATAAATGGCGTGGTTGCTGCCCCTTGCACTTGAGTGTATCCAACGTATCTGAATGACCAAGTGCCCAAATCATCTTCGAATGAATTGGACGAACGTGAGTATTCCTGAGCAGCAGGTCTCGTTGGGGGCGTTTGGTGCGGCTCATTACATAGCCGAGGAGCGCCCTAGCAATGACAAGGCTGAGTGTTCAAGGATGATATCACTGGCTTGCCTGTCATTCCTGTAGATCGTGTCTACCTCTCCAAAATACCCACAACAGACCCAACCATCACCGCTGCTTCTCTCTCCCAGTTCCCAGCCTCAGCTCCTGTCCGCTTGTCTGTCACCAATGTTGAGGCTGGGAGCTGTGAGCCCCGCAGGACGCACTCTCTAATATCCTTCCTGAGTCTATCCCGGTTCGACCGAAGCGTTCGTGCTGAAACACCGCCGCGACTGACGATCTCCTGGACCCGCGGCGCCAAGGATGAAGCTAATGACCGCCAAAAGTACGAAGGGAGAGACGTTGTATCTAAAGCGTTTAGAAGTGGCTGGAGAAGGTTGTTCTTGGAGGTCACTTCTTGCGCTCGAACCGCTGTACCATTGCTGTCGTCAGTGCTAGGAGCCGAAGCAGGTAAAAGTGGATGCGTTGGCGGACGAAGGCCGCTGAGTATCGCCTCTAGTGCAAAGATATCCTGACATCGTCCCGAGAGTTCAGACAGCGTCCGCTCGAGGCTCGGAAGCATGGATAGTGATCGGGAAAGAGCGTTGACGGACGCCACAATGGTCGAGTGCATGTAGCCTTGCAAAGCGGAAAGCAGAAGCTCTGGTTGAAAACTGGCTGGCGAAGTCAACGTCTTAGGGACTGGAGACAGAATGTACAAGACGGTAACTGCAGAAACAAGCCGAGCTCGCGCGTCCCGGGCTTGACGATATCCGGTTTGAGTATGCGAGCCCGCCGCGATGGACGACATTGAGAAGCGATTGATAGTCTGTTGTGCGCGTGCCTTGACCATATTCTCGGCCGGAATCACCAGGTCACCTCTCAAAGTCCGGATGACCTTGACACGTTCCAAGTCGTAGCCTTCCTCGCCCACGGCGGTAGCGGAGAACATCCGTCGCAAACTCACAATGGTAGATGCAGCTCGCTCCAGCGCTCGGTAGTCCTCTCTGCCAGGGCTGGCAGAGGAGCGATCGTGTGCTCCCGCAGTCACTGCTGGGCCACCCCGACCAGTCACCTCAGAAAGCTGACCCTCCAACTGCCTGCCAAGAGCCAGACAACGCGCGACCGCTCTCGCTAATCGCACGGTTGCCAGCGACTTTTCCGCAGCCACTCTGGCTTCGTCTGCAGCCTCCCATTTTCGTAAAACTTCCTGCTCCAGGCGTTCATAGCCTTTGGTCACAGAGGATATCTGCTCCTCCGTCTCCTTGAGAATCCGCTCCGCAGCAGCGGTTTGATCCCGCGTGTGCACAAGCAGTGGGATAGCTGATTTGCTCGTTAGATTGTGGATGTGAGTATCAATCTCTTGGAGGTCAAAAAGCACCCGTGACAGTGGTGTGGAAAGGTCCAACGGTGTGTCTGTAGCATTGTTGGTTGCCAGGACCAAGGAATTGGAAAATGATGCCGATGAGAAGTCGGGGTCCAAAAAGGCCTCGTAATCTATGTATGAAGGTTCACTGTCTGCCATCTTGTCCACAGTGTATGCAGCCAAATTACTCTATCTGGAAGAATGGCTATCAAAGCAGAAAACGAGATGCAATGGACAGATAGGAGGTGGATGGATATTTGCAAAAGGTCTGGTTCAATTGATGCCGCCACAGGAATTCAAAAGAATCTCATTTTAAAGGAACCATCCCAGACCTTGCCAATGATGCTAGAAGAACGACAGTAAGTTTTGAGTAGCACTTATTGCACCTAGAATTGAAGGTGTTTACTACTCTTTAATGCCGTTGATCCGCAGATGCCATGTTTCAGTCACGTGAATATCATTAGTCATGCTGCTCATGCAGCTTTCCTTACCCGACGCATTGTGAAGGCATTCAGAGGATACTTCCTCCCACTCAAGTAGACGATTTCACATTCAGGGAGCCTTATCACAACTAAACTAGAGTTTGATTGCTACATTGGTGACAGAATGAACCCTTGTAGTAGGAATTGGCCCACGTCTGTATTACTGAAGAACCCGGCCATTGCTCTCCTCCACAATCAAGTCAAACTCAGGCTGAAACTCGGTATAAAAGTTATGCTGCGGCATGTCAGTTTGCACTCTGAAAATCGACACGGAGAACTTACTGGGTTCTGAATGGCGTCAGCAGTATACTGTGCCACTTCATGGTTGATAATCTTTTTAGGAACTCCATTCGCAGCCGCGGCATCAGCCATCAACTGCGAACGACATGCATTATCCAAGCTGAAGAACAGGAACGCAGCTTCATCGACGGTGTGGCCAACCGTCAGTAGACTAGAAGACGATCAGCTCTTGCACAATCGCTGGGCACAACAAGAAGATTCCATACCCGTGGTTCTGCAGAATACAGGCGATATTCTTCTCGCCTAGAGCCCGTGCGATCTGCTCGCCCTCTTCCTGGGCTAGTGCAATCCCACCATGATCATCATATACGCTCAGCTTCCCGTAGAAGTTACAGGCGTCTACAGCAACCGTCAGCGTTCTCCAACCACAACCCTTCAGGGGTATAGGCACAGTGCGTACCCTGAGAAAGCATTTCAACGGGCCGCCCAAATGCACTCCACGTCTTCCCATGAATCGAATGCGTATGCGCCGCAGCCACCACCTCTGGACGGGCCTTGTGAATCTCAGAATGAATCATGAAGCCCGCCTCGTTGATGGGAAGCTGCGCTCCTCCCTCCGTCACGTAGCCCTCGCTATCGACCAGAACCAAGTCCGAAGCCTTGATGGTCGAGAAATGCTTCGCGAACGGGTTCATCCAGAAATGGTCCTCGAGGACGGGGTCTGCGGAGAAGTCAGCATGCGGACTCATGTCTGTCTATAAACTTCCCTTACCTCTCATGGAAATATGACCAGACACCCCCTCTCCGTAGCCCTGCTTTCCGAAGAAGCGGAACGCAGCCGCCATATGCTCTTTCATCCATTTGCGCTGCTCGTAGGGGTCGGAGAAGGTTGGGATGCCTTGGAGCTTGAGTGTACCTTCGCGATTGCCGCGTGCGATGGCCTGGAACTTTTCATCTGCTGCGGCAGGAGTGATTTTATTTTCTGGGGTGACGACGAGCGTCTGCTTCAAGGCTTCAGTAATCGTCGTGGTTGACATTCTGGATGATACGTATAAGAGTAAACAGAAATGGGATTTCAGCAATGAGCACGACTAGGTATGTTGCATGAAACTTGAAAATAACCAAGATGTTAAATACCCCCTTTATATATCTGGCTAAATGAGACAAGCTACGGTTCAACCAACATATCGTCAATCCTTTATCTATACAAAGCTTATCATCACTTGAATCGGACTTCGCGGGTCAACTCCGAACCCCCGCTTGACTTAGGTTGCCTGATCGCTTGTCGCGTAGAAGGCGCAAAGATTCGATTCGACGCAACGAAGATGTACGTATCTCCAGCCGACTATTATCCGACCGAAGGATTCGCGGAGAAATCGAGACACGACTGATTGGTAATGCTGTTCATTGCACTCCTGCCTCGCCCTCCGCCCAAGTGCAAATCGCCGTTAAGATGGGCCAGAGTCAATCTTATTAGAACGTAACCAAAATGTGCCTGCACATATCATGAAGGCGCAATCGTCTCCTGCAATATATCCTCATCCACAAGGATTGCACAGGAATGCACCGTCCATTTCAACGCCATCTATACAAATCCAACCAGCTAGGGTATACACAATGATGATGGTAACGATGCACCGCAGCGCCGTATCCGGGTCGCCAAAATTAATGATAAAATGAAGAATTAGAGGCGACAGTGTCGTCCAAGCCCCACAAGAGCATTATACAGCCTGCTCACCTTTCATCTCCGTCAATTCGTACTCGCCACCACTCCCCTCTCCCAGATTCCGCCCTCGGCCGCGTCCCCGTGATGGCAAGAACGGTTCGTTTTCAACATCGTCAGTCTGCGGTTGAGATGTACTAGAAGACGACTGCGCCGTGCCCCTACCCCCTGCTATCCCGAACGTGATAGGTCTGAGTTCCCGCCACTGGCAGGCCCAGATACCCACAAAGGTCATCAGAGCTGCGCTGGCGCATTGAAGACCCCACCAGAGCCAGTTGCGGGGTATTGAGCGGGTGTAGAAGGACGTCGCGACGAGATGGAGGAAGTGAATTGTCAAGGCGAAGTCAGGGATGAGCTTTGAGCGGGACACAAGAAGGAGTAGGAAGATCACGCTGTCAATCAAGTCCGGTCAGCGAACCAAGCTCTTGCAGGGGCGAAAAGGCGTAGACAATACCCAAGTAGACTGTTCAACATCCATACTAATCCCAACATCCACCCTATTGTTGTGTCTCCCCTTAAGGCATCCCAACTGAAAACCAAATCGAGCGAGAACCCCGTCCCGTAGACCAAAGTCGTGAATAGAATCAAGGCTGTAGCGGAGACATAGTAGGCAGTTTGCAGGAGGAGGATCTTTCGAACAATCTTCAGCGGTGGAAGGTCTGTTCGGGACCCCGCAGGAGCCCGTCGGCGCGGGGGCATGAACTATTGATAATGTATCGACCCTGGTGGTGATGCGAATATCGTTTACAGAGGACGAGCGAGCGGTCTGGACAGTCTGGAAACGGACTTTTGGGGGTGCAAGCGTAGATATCGAGTAGATGCAGGTTCAGCTATGTATTTGGTAGGCAGCAGCCAACATTATTTTCTTGACTTGGGCTGTTGTATCCCCGTGCTCGAGTCAATTGATGATGAAAGATAGAAGACGACTTGAAGCTGTCCCAGCAAATGACATGTTAGCGCCACAGCCGACAAGCCACGCGGAGCCGCCAATGCGGAATCCCGAACTGAAGACACCCAATTCCTACGTACAGATCACATTTTCGCGACGATTCTACGTCTCACTATTCTTCCGCTGTACTCATATTACCTTTTCAATCTTATTTAATATACCTTGATCAAAATGGGCTGGCTCCCTTGGTCCTCCGACGACTCCTCCAAAGCCTCCGACGGCGGCCGCATAGCCCCCGACCGGAGCTCCCGCGAAAAGTGCTGGGAAGGCCGGGATCTATTCTTCTCCTGCCTGGATAAAAATAACATCATCGACTCGATCAAGGAAGATAAGGAAGCGCGGCGCCAATGTGGGAAGGAACTGGCACAGTTTGAAGGGGCGTGCGCGAAAGCTTGGGTATGTATCTCCCAGTCTTGAGCAGTTCGGGAGATAGGTTTCTAATCCTTGTTCCTGCATAGGTCAAATACTTCAAGGAGAAGCGGGTAATGGAATATAACCGGGACAAGACGATCGAGCGCATCAAGAAGGAAGATGCGGCCAAGGTTGCGGATCTCAAGGCACAAGGGTGGACGCCGAGGTGAGGCTTGTGCTATCGACTGAAAATGGAGGGTCAAAAGACGAGAGGAGATTATCTATTATGAATGTACTATATCACATTGTATCGCCTCTCATAACGACTGTTGAATGAGATCTTGTATAATATTCGTACCTACCCAGTCATCTCATTGTGCTGCATCCGAAGTCAAGATCGTCCTATTGCTTTACCCTAGCGGTGGATTCGCTCAACGCAGTGAGATTAGAGGTAGGAGATAATCCCCAAAGATGTCATGACAACCCAGACGCAGAAGCCATTTTCTGCCATATCTAACCTTTGAATGCCTCGAAAGGATAACCCTGCACTCCTGTCGCAATGTCTTGATCGAAATAGAAAAGTAGCATCAAAGCCAACAACCAGCCATAAAAACCGTGAACAATGGCCAGTTCATCTCATGACTAATTAATTCAACGGACATTCATGAAAGAAACGCCAAGCTCCATGGTATTCCGAAATTTCAGAACAGAAGGAAACAAAGAGAAAAGAGAGAGAGGCGGAGGATGTACATTTAAAAAGAATTATCGTCCATCATTGTTTCCACTTGCTTAACTGATTCATGATGTTTTGGACGTGAGGATTCATAGTCGCCAAGTTCTGCTGCTGTGGTTGTTGTTGTCCACCCAGGCCCTTGGCAAGCAATGAGATCAGATTGGGATCCGGAACCACCGGAGCATTGGTGGCTGGGATCGAGTACTGCGGAGGCAGGTGTTGTTGAGGGTTCGTAGGAATAGGTGGCCGCGTGGCTCCGCTCAAAAGGCTTGCGAGATCTGCAGTGGTATGAGGCATGTTGGTAGCTGTAAAGGGCTGTGCAGCGGGAACGGGTTGTTGCTGTCGCTGCTGCAGTGCACTCAAGAGAGACTGAAGGGTAGGCCCATCAAGAGACGAAATCATATTCGAGACATTGGAAGAAGTAGGAAGCGCTGGCAATGGTGCCTGAGGAATGGGCGCTGTGGGAAGAGTCGGCATGGCGAACGCTGGGTTGGGTGGGAAAGGAAGTGAAGTAGCACCGCGCTGCATGGCTTGGGCATGAAAGACGACCTCGGCGGCGATGCTGGGCTCGACGTCTGGATATTCTGTACATAATACGTGAGTATAAGAGGTCGCGTGCAGAGAGATGACTGAAAACAAGGTTGCTGACCATTGAAGCGAACATTGTCTGACCCACCACTG